TATAGTGCATATACTCGATTGATTAGATGTACCACTTTTACCCAAAGTGAAATTCTTGACTACTATACATTTGACAAGTAATAGTAAAAGCAAAATTGGAAATTAAATCCTACTTTAGAAGCATAATTAGTACTCAAACTCTTTGTAGTCGACAAAATAGACAAATATACCCAAGATTCGAATAATAATACTAGTGTTGGAAATAAGGTGGGAAAAGGCATGCTAATATACAATTGTTTACATAGAGACTTGAAAAATCATCTAGATGGCCGCCAATTCATCAAAGGTTCGTCGACTTGTACGTGAATGTCATAGTAGTCAACTATTTTTTTATAATTTTTTTTGGTAATTTAGATCAACTAGTAGCTAGATTTAGCATTTGATTAAGAAAAATAATGAACCCAATCTAGTTTAATAGGGTGAGATATTTTTGCTACCAATTTATTATAGGCCTTATTTGACAATAAAATTTATACTCTAAGGGCTTGTTCATATTTACTGAACCGAAATAAGTTGAACTGAACTGAACTGATTGAAGTTGAATTGAACTGAACTAAACTGATTGAAGCTGAACTGAACTGAACTAAGCTGAAATGAATATTTCATGAGAGAGGAAAAATAGGAGCTGAACTGAACTGATTGGAGCTGAACTGAACTGAACTGAACTGAAATTAAGTTGAAGTGAACAGGCCCTTAGGGTAAGGGCCTGTTCTCTTACGTTGAAATTCAGTTCAGTTCAGGTCCTAATTTCCTTCTCTTATAAAATATTCATTTCATTTCAATTTAGTTCAGTTCAGTTCAACTCGGTTCAGTTCAGTTCAGTTCACAATCCATTGTATGAAAGAGTATACTCTTCAGAATTTTTTGAGTAGTTCACCGAATTTATTCTATTGTTTGTAATTTTATTTACCTTCATATGTCAATAATAATAATAATAATAATAATAATAATAATAATAATTTATTCTATAGTATGAGGCTCGTTGTCAGGCGATTGGTTATGGGTTCATTCCCTTCTCCTTTTCTTCGTTTGGTGAATTAGAGTAGGAGGTTGTTGCGTTGCTTAAGCGAATTCAGAGGTTCTCGACAACGCAAGACATTGGAGCACGTGCTGCAGCTCATATTTTTACTAAGGTAGGCTTTACTATTGCTAGAGGAGTGGGGGCCCATATTGTATCTCGGCTTCCCACTAATTTATTGTAGGTTGTATGACTTTTGTTTTTGAGATATAATAATAATAATAATAATAATAATAATAATAATAATAATAAATAAATAAATAAATAAATAGATAAATAAATAAAAAGACAGTAGTTTTAAGAGTTTAAATTAGCTGAGTCAAAAAGTTAGAATTGCTAAAGGTAAAGCATTTAGTGTTTGATTAAATCAAATAAACTCTTATATGATAGCCTTTTAATGTTAACTTAGGGATTGTATGTAAAACCTAGCTAAAACAAAATAAGGCTATTTTGGGAGGTTGTATATACCATATACCATGCATCGTCATCTATTTTTTTTTTATTTACTACGAAGCATTTTAATGTTGTAGTTATTAATTTTTTTTATATAATATTTTACCCAATATTTATATCTAATCGTTAAAAAATTTGGAGATACATCTCCTTTTATAACAATTATTCACTAAAAATGATTTAGATAATTATTTATCTTTCTCCATATATAATGAAAAATAAATGTTTAACACTCAATAATACAGTCTGAAGAGAGTGAAGTATAGCTCAAGTGGTTAGAGCTCCCTTCTAGATTCCAGGAGATCATGGGATCGATTCTCACCCCTGCCCTTGTGGCTCTCTAAACACCAAAAAAAATAATATGGTCTGAATAAATTAAATAGGAGTATAGGACTCATCAGCATGATTAATGCTATTGAAGTCGACGTGTTTAGAACACATATTAGTAGTAAGATCCCATAAAATAGATTGTTTTTTCTGTTTCTAGCCAGGCATGCATGTTTAGCGCAATAACTATCTTAGGAATCGATATGATTTTTATACCCAATGATTTATAGTACGTATATCTATTGTTTAACATCTACCATGTGCAACTCCACAGATTATGCAAAGAATAAGAATAATTAATGACCTTGTTTAACATTATCAACGACATTGTCAAGAGATTGGTTACTTAGAATGTATTAAATATTGTAAATATTAATTAATACTGCATTATTGCCCGACTATCCATAAAAGAAATCATGAATAAGACCCCAAGAAGAAGGGAGTAACAAGGCCTTGAAATATGATTATCCTAATATTAGACACTTTGAAATGGCACATAATCGAGAAATTAATTAAAATAGAATATCTTTTTTAGTATGTCGTGTAAGTTGTATACGAGTATTATTTTATATCTTATGGTATATGTATGTCATATCATTAGTTAGTACTTACATTTTTTATTAATTGATACATTTTGTTTGACATTATATATATACATAAATTACTTTGACTCTCTTTTGTGGATATTTAGTTAAAGGGGAAAAAAAATCATACGTAATATTGTTAGATTTGTTTTAATGTATAATTACAAAAATTAATATAATTTTTTGCTTATTAATAATCAATATATTAATGTGTTATTAGCATACTAAAGAAGCATGTCAATTAATATGAAATGGACAAAAATTAAATAATATTTTCAGCTTCCATTGATCAATGTCATCTCCATATAACTTATAATTGGACTGTCAAGTTTGAATATTATGCTATATTTTTTACTAGGATTTCTTATGACATGGAGTTGAATCACCCTTGTTCCATTAGTCAACATATGAGTTTAAAATTGAATTAAATTGTAATTATATGTCCATAGACATAATTTTCTATAAACCTCGAATCCCACGTTTACACGTAAGACCTTTCAAAATTTTGTAGCAAAGTCGTTGCAATGAGCTCATATGAGTGTAGAATTTTTGACGCCCAATTGTCTCTTAAAGTGTCAGCTATGCAACGTGTAGTGGATTGTGATGAGGGTGCCTAGTGAGAACAACCAAGGGCAAGTTATTGTGAGAAATTAGTTTTTTTTTTAGATATTAACATTAGAGTTAATTGTATTTAATTACATATTTACATTACATGCATCAAAGCAACAATTTGACATCAATTTAAAAACAACCACATGATAATGGTGCCTTATATAGTTCAACTTCGGATTTTTAATTATCCATACGTGCAAAATAAAAAAAGGGTGAAAGCAATTTAGTTTTTGAATAAGGAGTAAAATTTTACAATCATTCTCTTATTCTCTAACTAACTAACTCAATGGCATGTTGCTTTTATTATGACTGCAATGTCTACAAAAGTGCTTCACTATATTTATGTGTTGAATCTATTGTTGTCAACATATAAGTTGTCTTATATTGAACAAAGATGAGTAAAACTACCACTTTATAAACTAGTAGATCAGAGTTACTTATACTATCGCAAATTAGTTTCAAAGTGGTATCTCATTTAATTACGCTTGTAAGCGAATCAAAATCCCCCCTTTATTTAGTTACCTAGACATATTTCACTTCTTGTGTGGTATTATACGTGTTCAATTATAGTCTTCTTACACATAAGTATCAAGTCTAATGCCAAGATCAATATTATTTGTAAGCAAGATAGCTACCACTTGTTATTAATTTTGATCTAAAACGTAACTAAATGACACAAGTATTTCATCATCAAATCGTGTGAACCATCGATGAAGTCAACCATAAAGTCTTTTTCCATCTATATATACCATGCACTATTATTCGTATATGACTTCCTGACTAGTCACATTTGGAACATTATTGTTCCAATTAATATACTGTGTATATATTATCATCATTATCACGATCATATACTTTTCTTTTGTCTAACTAACCTAATTTTAATACTACATGTCTAATCTTATTCGGTTATTTTCCTATATATACACATTTTCACTTCACATTAGCCTTATTAGTAAGTTAAGGTCACCTCATTTTACTCATTTTCTCAACGTATAGTCCTACATATATACTACAACTTAAAATAACATATATCTTGATTAGTCTCAATAGCTAGCCATGACCGTTGGAGGCAATGGTGGGCTCCACTTTGTGGTACGAGTCATCATGGGGCGGTGGTTCATGGTGTTTTCCACCCTCCTAGTGATGTCCATGGCAGGGGCTACGTACATGTTTGGATTGTACTCGCCGGACATAAAAAGGTCCCTAGGGTATGATCAAAGTACGTTAAACCTCCTTAGTTTTTTCAAAGACTTGGGGTCTACGGTAGGAATACCCGCCGGTCTACTTATGGAAATCGCACCACCTTGGGTGGTTCTAACCGTGGGTGCGATCCTCAACTTCTTCGGTTATTTTATGATTTGGCTAGCTGTTTCAGGCCATATAGCCAAGCCTGCCGTTTGGCAAATGTGCCTCTATATTTGTATAGGTACGTGTTTTTAATTAGTATTGCTATGTTATGTTACATGCATTTTATCTTCAAATATATATATTAGCATCGATTTTATGATATTAATATTTGACACCATCATTCGTAACAAATAGCTAATCTCATATATTATGTCATTTGCTTAATATTGCCAAATTGAGTAGTTATCTTCGTATATACGTTCGCTATTTTAATATTGGATAAGTGTTAGCATTTTCTCTTGTTGATGCACCCTAGTAACCTAGTTGTATTAGTCAATTTAAGAGTTTAAAATTGAATTACATTGTAATTATATGTCCATAAATATAATTTTTTATAAACCTCAAAATCCGTGTTTACACGTAAGACCTTTCAACTCTTAAATCGTCATTTACAATATATTCATTGAGAGTGTTTTGCATCATAAATTATTGTTTGATAAGAATTATTGTTATGTTGTGTAAATTACCTTTCTTCTATACGGATATGAGTACTAGTTACAACATGTATATAAGACCTTTTTCTCAAATATTATACTAGTTTAGAAATGTAAACCCAGGAAGAGACACTAATATAATACATAACCATGCATAGAAAAGTAACGAAGATTTGAACCCTACATCTCTAAGATAATCAGGTTAAAAGTTTTATCAAGTGAGTCAGTCTTGTTTGGTACCACGCTCCGGTCGTCTCATTTGACCTTAAATTAAGAAATTTTTAATTAGATAAACAAGTGAAACAAGTTGAATAATATAATTATGTTACGGAGTATACTAAAAATGTCATTTCAAATAGTCTTTTATATGTGGGGAATTATAGTCTAATTAATTAGGTGATGTATTGGGTTATATATTTCGTAGTTTAAATTTCAACAAGGATAAAATTATAGACGAAAGTAGGCAACGAATGAGCAAGCAAGAGGGAACACTGAACAGGAATTTGCCCCTCCTAAATTTACGAGATTGCAATATCAATAGTTTTCTAGACAACGGCATCAAGTGATTTTAAATTTAGTCTAGTGGAGACGCAATTTGCCTTTATAAAACCATTTTTTTTCAAAAATAATTGTACTAGTATCTATGCAAGTTTATCTTATTTGTAGTTAATTATAAATATCACTATAGAAATGAATATTAAACTATTAATCCACACATTGTCAGATCTTCATCAGTATAATTTCATTTCAATTAATCACATAATTTTTTTAACCACTTTTGTATTAAAAAACCAACCAATTGAATAATACATCGAGAATCTTTGATAAAACAAAGTAAACTAACAAGCCTAGTTAAAAGCGCATGATCATATTATATTAAAATTAAGACAGCTAACAATTCATACAACAACTTGATGACAAATTGATTACATGACCTAAATAATTCAACCTCAAATCCTGCAAAATCTGTTTGAATTCATACTTGCTCTCCAATAACATGGGCTAAGTCAACTATAAGGTCTCAATCTAGAAAAATATCCCAATAATAAACATTTTACATAGAGAAAATTTGACCATTCACACTTTAAAACAACGTTCCTATATATGGTCATATGTTATCTACTTGCACATTAATTGATGATATTATACTAGTATACTACTATATGTGTAACATTATTTCTACATATTTGTTCACTCTTACACTATAGTAAGCTCAACTTCAACTCTCCCTCCCTAAACAAATTAAGTAGCTTTTATTAGCGACGATGGTGGTTGATGGTGGCGGAGGTGGTGGTGGACTTAGTTTCGTAGTACGGGTCATAATGGGACGGTGGTTCATGGTGTTCTCCACCATCCTAGTGATGTCTGCGGCAGGAGCCACCTACATGTTTGGGTTGTACTCTAAGGACATAAAAAAATCCCTAGGGTATGATCAAACTACCCTTAACCTCCTTAGCTTTTTTAAGGACCTAGGGTCTACAGTAGGGATACCTGCGGGTCTATTGATGGAGATTGCACCGCCTTGGGTGGTCTTAGCCGTGGGTTCTGTCCTTAACTTCTTTGGCTACTTCATGATATGGCTCGCGGTTTCTGGTCGTATAGCCAAGCCTTCTGTTTGGCAAATGTGCTTGTATATTTGCATAGGTATGTGTTTACTTTCTCTAGTTTATGTAATGCCTCATATGTTCAAACCGCCTCTTAATCTTAATCCTATATTTTTAGTGTGCCAAAGCCAAAAAGCCTCTATTTTCTCCCAAATTTTCTAGAAGATATGAAAAATCTTTACTCAAAGATCTCACATCTTTATGTTTATCATCGTGAAATGCGTGTATGTATAGTTAGTAGATCATAATATAATAATGTTATACGAAGTATTATATTATGATAAAAATTTCAAAATATCACAGCATATCATCATATTGATCGATATTTTCTTCATGTTAATTAGCACTCAAAAGTTTAGGTTTATCTTTTAATAGTATACATATGCATAGTTAGTTTTGTTATTTTAACTTATATTGCATCTTCAAAATTTATGTGGAGATGGTAGAATCCGCTTTCAATGCGACCATTATTTTGAAATTTTGGAGTGCGAATTATATTATATTGTTGCCTTGTTGGTGGGTAAGTTACATTTGTTGAGTCGTCGGTGACTTTTAAACAAGGTGACTATTATTGGTGATACAACAATTGCATCTAGTCTAATATACTAATATTATGTGTTACTTTGTATATTTTTCTTAGCATATATCCTTGCACTTACATTATGTATATCTTTGAAAAGTCTTAGTAAGTAGTCCACACTATATTTAATTGCAAATGCCATTCATACTTTTCCTTGCCGGATGGTAATAAGGACTTTAGGCCTGTCAATAATATATAGACATGCAGTTATTACAATTTGATAAGGTTTGTCACATCTACATCTCTAAATTAAGACAAGATGATGCATAAAAGTTTTTAAAATAACTTTTATAGTTTTTTTTTTTTTTTTTTTTTTTTTTTTTTTTTTTTTTTTGCTCACGGTAGATTCAAACACAATTATGATCTAAACTAGCTTAGATTGATGTATATCAAGAATAAAATTAATTAACACCGAGTGTACTCTACATTAATTAACCTCTTTCGTGACAATAGCCTAGACACCCTATATAAAGGAACATCTAACGAATCTGATTAATAAGTCTCAAACAATTACAACCTACACGTACGTACGACGTATTAATTACAATAATCTTAAATCTTATAAGAAATTTTTTTATTTTTGAGGCAAATATAAGAATAATTACTTGTAATTTTCAATAGCAATCTCTTAACATAAGAGTATAGCTAATGGTTGTCCATTTTGGGTGGGCATGAAGAGAGAGAAAAATAAAAAAAAGCTTAAAAATGAAAAATTTGTACTTTTTGTGAGAAATGGTTCATGACCAGGTCATGGCCATGACCATTTGTTGAGTGTGGGCATTTAGTGGTATTTCGCCACTTGTCCAACAAAGAGAGGAGGTTTAGTTTTTTTTTTTTCAATTGATGAAGACTCACATGGGAATGGAAGGAAAGGAGAATCAATGCCCACAAATTTGAAGGGCAACCAATGTGAGTGTATGGGCATGAGAGTTGGACATAAATGAGGTGGAAGAGAGAGAAAGTAATAAAAAAATATGATGACCACCATTAACTTGGGCATCCATTGACTATGCTCTAATGAGCCGAGTGCCCACTGCCCAGGGACCATGGAGTCTATCTACCATCTACCTAGAACAACATTAAAAAGCAATAAATTATGTATCAATCTTGAATAAATAATTAGTCTGGTTTGTTTGACTTTGTACTTAGAGAAGTAGCTACTTGAACTAAATCACGTGTATTGGCGAGCTAGCTAGTTACAGCCTACGTACAAGAACAACTGAACAAGTAGAAGTTGCGGCAATTTTTTGTCATTTTGCGTAAATGTAGCTGGAGATATTCTTATAAAGTTATATAAGTAATTACGGTGTAGTAGATAATGATTATAATAAATCCAATATTCTGCTTTTTGTTTATTGCTCTAAGTACAGTGTTTGTTTTCTTATGGTGTATATTGCCAACTTTATTTAATTTTATTTAATTTTTTTTTTTAATTATGATTTACCAAAACTTATAAAAGGCTTTGTTTGATCCTTTGCTAGCTTATGTTTTATTAGGAGTTTAGGACTCCTATTACTCATTTTCCATTTTGGTTCTTTTTTTTTTTTTTTTTTTTTTGTTCTATTCACATTGTTTTTTTTTTTTTTTTAATTATGATTTACCAAAACTTATAAAAGGCTTTGTTTGATCCTTTGCTAGCTTATGTTTTATTAGGAGTTTAGGACTCCTATTACTCATTTTCCATTTTGGTTCTTTTTTTTTTTTTTTTGTTCTATTCACATTGTTTTATTCTATTTTTAGTGTACATCTTTTAACTTTTCGCCCTTTATTCTCATATTCTATAATTAACTTATTTCTGACAAAAATACACATTTTGTATATCATCTCTTTACCTTCATTTTACTTTGTCTTACCGTCAATATAATATTACAGTGAATATAAATGAACCAAAAAATATATATAATAAGACAAATTTAACAAAAGATCCCGACATACCTATATTATTTTAGTATAACATTGGTCAAACATGGTATAAATAAATAGTGTAAAAGTCCATCACAAGTGGTGCATGCAAGTATTAAAGTACGGAAGAAGTTCAATAAAAATATCATTTGTGTACGTGTTTTCAATCAAAGTTGAAATGGAAGATCCATAATTAATAACTCATACATTTTGTATTGTGATATGTAGGTGGAAACTCTCAATCATTTGCAAACACCGGTGCACTTGTTACTTGTGTAAAGAACTTTCCAGAAAGCCGAGGAGTGGTCTTAGGGTTGCTAAAGGGTTTTGTTGGTCTAAGTGGTGCTATCATAACGCAACTCTACTATGCACTGTATGGTGGGAAGAACTCCAAAGCCCTAATTCTCCTCATCGGTTGGCTACCAGCCGCGATTTCACTAGTATTCTTACGTACCATCCGGTTTATGAAAGTTGTTAGACAAAAAAATGAGGTCAAATTGTTCTATGAGATTCTCTATATCTCCCTTGGACTCGCCGGTTTTCTCATGATCATGATCATACTACAAAAGCAGTTAAACTTCAAAAGAAGTGAGTTTGTAGCAAGTGGTGTGGCGGTAGTCATTTTTCTCCTTTTACCTATTTTAACTGTGGTCAAAGAGGAAATTAGGCAATGGAAGAAGAAGCGAGAATTGTTACAAAATGCTCCTAAGGTAGATGTCGTCGTAAACAATGGTGAGGATAAGGAAGACAAGGTTAAGGAGCTTCCTAATAAATCAACTCCTCTTGCATCCGATGAGGTAGTTGCAACATCAAGAGAGGCGGATTCCTGTTTTCAAAATGTGTTATGTCCTCCCGAGCGAGGAGAAGATTACACTATACTACAAGCACTCTTTAGCATAGACATGCTCATTCTATTTCTTGCTACCATATGTGGAGTTGGTGGTACATTGACCGCGATTGACAATTTAGGTCAAATCGGGACATCACTTGGCTATCCGACTAAAAGCATCAGCACCTTTGTGTCCCTAGTGAGCATATGGAATTATTTGGGTCGTGTCGTATCAGGTTTCTACTCAGAACACTTATTAAAGAAGTACAAGATTCCAAGGCCTCTTTTTCTCACTTGCATGCTCCTACTCTCTTGTGTTGGGCACCTTCTAATTGCATTCAACGTTCGTAATGGGCTTTACGTTGCATCTGTGATTATTGGGTTTACCTTTGGGGCCCAATGGCCTTTACTCTTCGGTATAATATCGGAGTTATTTGGGCTCAAGTATTACTCAACTTTGTACAACTTTGGGTCAGTTGCAAGCCCAATAGGAGGTTACATTCTCAATGTGAGGATAACGGGCCATTTATATGATAAGGAGGCCAGAAAGCAATTGGATTCTTTGGGCCGGCCCAGGATAAAAGGGGAAGAGCTAAATTGTGTTGGGCAAGAATGTTTTCGTTTAGCATTTCTTATAATCACAGCAGCAACTGTTTTTGGTATGTTAATTTCATTGATTTTGGTGGTAAGAACAAGAAAGTTTTATAGGAGTGATATTTACAAAAAGTTTAGGGATGCGGCCGTAGTTGAGGAGGATGAGTTGGTAAATGGCGGTGCTATGGTGGCAACAAACGGAGCGAAAAAGGGGGAGACGACGAAGGTTGAAAACTAAATGTGTTTAGTTTGGCAATTTTTCGAAAACATATGGATAATATAGTGTAATGGTCATATATTAAGTACATTATTGATGCATGAAATGCATGGTAGACTGGTCTGACCAAGAAGAAGAGCGAAATATATCATTTATGTCTAGTGAATTTTTAAGAAATGACTATTGTAACGATGGTGAGTTAATATATAGATGAAGATAAAACACGATATGTTAATGTGTAAAGAGAAAATCGTTATATTAAAGTAACAAGTGTGACACTTTTATTTTTGATTTGAAGCAGTTTGTGCTCCTATTTTGCAATCTAGTATTGGGTACAATGCTAATTTCTTTGTGATGATAACGCCTATGAAAATTACGGAATATCAAGGATTAGCTGTTACGTGTTGCATAACAGACATAAGTCAAATTAGAACTTTTTTTTTTTTTTTTTTTTTTTATTGTGAGCCTCAAGGACAAGGGTGGGAATCGATCCCAGATCTTCTGAAATCAGGAGGGAAGCTTTAACTACTTGAGCTATCTCTCACGACCTCACTCATATAACATTTTATAATTTGAATGTATTTGGGCACTATTGATTCTTACAAAATAATATTGTACAGGATAGAAAGAATAACTAAGTCCAATTAATCATAGATTTGATCGATAAAGTATAATAAATTAATCATGGGCTTTAACCATCTGCTTAAATTTAAGTATTACTCTTGTACTTTGTAGTCATTTTATTATGTTAAAATAACCTAACATAATTATAATGTTAATCTAAAAATCTGTATGTAATAAGAGTATTACATGATTTGCATCGTACTTATAATTGAAATGTAGGTGCAAAGTCGCAAGCTTTTTCAAATATTGGTGCACTTGTTACATGTGTGAAGAACTTTCTCAAAAGCCGAGGAGTTGTCTTAGCCCTTAAGCTTGCTAAAGGGCTTTGTTGGTCTCAGTGGCGCTATCATAACACAACTCTACTATGCATTGTATGGTGATGATGATGGAAAAAATTCTAAGGCCTTGATCCTCTTCATTGGTTGGCTCCTGCCGCGATTTCATTTGCATTCCTACATACCATTTGATATTTCAATTTGTAAGTCGAAAAAATGAGGACAATGTCTTTTACGATCTGCTTTATATCTCCCTACTTCAAAACACCAAAACCTTCACATGAGGTGAGTACATTGGAAGTGGTATAGCCGTTATTCTTTTGCTTCTTTTACCTCTTTACAGCGTGATTAAAGAAGAATACAAGGTACAAAAAAAGAGTGGAGAGGAGTTGGAGAGTGTATCCAAGGTTAATGTTGTGGATTACTTTAGTCTATCTTATGATAACTTAATGAAAATCCGTCTTAATCATAATTTTGTGAATTGCCTTTAATGCCTTATAGGAGATTTGTTTGTTATATCTTATACATGCATAAATTACTATTGCTACGAAGCATTATACAAATATTAATGTAAAATTACTATTTCTACACAACTTTATCTTATTTTATAAAATGAATTATATTTATCATCAAACAAATAAATTTTAAACTAAGCTAAGCTATTAATATATACATTGTCAGATCTTCAATAGTATAATCTCCTTTCAATTAATAATTAAAGATTTTTTAAACCATTTTTCTTAGCAAACCAACCAATACATGAATCATACATTAAGAATCCTTAATAAAACAAAATTAATAACTAGCCTAGTTATAAGCGCATGATCAAATAATATCATAAGCAAGACAGCTAACAAGTTACATTAAGCTTATTGATTACATTACCTAATTAAATAACATGGGCTAGCTTAGGTCAACTATAAAGTCTCAATCTAGAAAGTTTTCCCAAAAATTAACATATTACATAGAATAATTTTGACTATATATTCACATTTTAAAACAACGTTCCTATAAATGGTCATGATCTATCTAGCTACTTGCACAAATACTTGTATTTATACTATACTACTATATGTGACCTTACATCTATACATACACTTTCACTAGCCCTCAATGTAGTAATCTCAACTTCAACTCTCCTTCCCAAAACATATTAAATAGTTATTAGCGACGATGGTGGTTGATGGTGGTGGAGGCGGTGATGGACTTAGTTTCGTGGTGCGTGTCATAATGGGACGGTGGTTCATGGTGTTCTCCACTATCCTAGTGATGTCCGTGGCAGGAGCCACCTACATGTTTGGGTTGTACTCTAAGGACATAAAATCGTCCCTAGGGTATAGTCAAACTACCCTTAACCTCCTTAGCTTTTTCAAGGATTTAGGGTCTACGGTAGGGGTACCTTCGGGTCTACTAATGGAGATTGCGCCGCCTTGGGTGGTCTTAGCCGTGGGTTCTGTCCTTAACTTTTTTGGCTACTTCATGATTTGGCTCGCAATTACCGGTCGTATAGCCAAGCCTTCTGTTTGGCAAATGTGCTTGTATATTTTCATAGGTATGTGTATACTTTCTCTAGTGTAAGCCTTCGTCCTGTTTGGTACTCCCTCTGTCCCTTATTTAGATTCCTACTTCTCTCTATTATGTTAGGAATAAATGCTAGAAGTAGAAATCTAATCAAGGGACGGAGGGAGTAAATCTTAATCCTATATGCATGTTTTAGTGTACCAATAAGCCAAAAAGACTTTATTTTCTCTCAAACTTTCTAAATATTATAAAAAAATCTTTACTCAAAGATTTCACGTATCTTTGTGTTTATCATTGTGAAATGCATGAATGAATAGTTAGTAGATTATAATATAATGTTATAGACGTATTATGTTAATATCACAGCATCATATTGATAGATTTTTTTATTCATGTTAGCACAATAGCACTCAAAAGTTTAGATTTATATTATCTTTTTAAACATGCATATATGTTATATTGCATCTCATCATGTCCATTTAGCTTCAATGCGACCATCTTGTTCTGAAAATTTGGAGTGATATACAAAGTAAATTATATTGTCGGTGGGTAAGTTACCTTTGTTGAGTCGGTGACTTAATTATATTAGCCCATTAGGCAATTAAGGTAACTATTATAATGTAATACTTCGTAGATAAAAAATAATTAATCTTATAAGGTTTAAGATAAGTTTAATAATCAATACTATACTTGAGAGTTATTGATCAGACTCTTTGTTGGAAAAATTATTACCGGGTCATAAAAATCGCAACGAACTTGAACAAATTTCACTTCGAGGCCTGAACAAAATCAGTTTCTCAAAGTAATATTTCGACCCTGATTAAACACACCGGGTATCACGAAATTATCAGGAGATACAACGAAGACAACCACAATAGTGTGTAGTATATTTGTGGTCAAATGTAAAACAAAATTTGGTAAAATATGATAATGAATAATTTAATCTTGCAATTGTATTTCAAGAAAGAAGAATAGGAGACAAGTTTTTCCTTTCTCAAAAGTTACTGACACATATGTTCACAAGAACATATTTATATTCCAAGCAAAATTAACCTCAACGGACACTAATAACTGCCATTGATCTTCAAGGAAACCGTCACAATTTAATTCAAGAATCAACCCAGAAACACGCGCCCGATCGGGCTGCTGTCGCCCGATCGGGAAGACCGGAGTGACGAATGATGGTTGCTCTCGGGCCCGATCGGGCAGAAAAATAGCGAATTTGATCATCGTTCTCGCGCCCGATCGGGCGGCTGAGATGACTACCAGACCCACCCTCGCGCCCGATCGGGCGAGTAACACCCAAATCGGGCGGCAGTCCGGGCGGAGGTGAGGTCTGCAATTACACAGCTTTACAAACCGAAAGCTGCTCTTTTCACCATTGTTCTTTTGTTCATTTTGCTTTAATATTCTTACTTAATTAATTTACAACACCTTTGCCTAAGTAAATTAATTAATTATCTTGTCATTTTGTCTAAATTCTCAAAATTATTTAACAATCCTCCCCCATTTTGAGAATTAAACTAGACACATTGCACAAACAATCATTATCATAAAAAACAATTTTGTGCATAAATGAAAGTGTACAAAGACTTGAACTCCCACTTAGTGCAATATACATTCCAAGAATCCGTATCCATTCGTTGTCGTAAACGATTGAACCAAAAGCAATACATATTGAATTCATGAAGATATTACACACACAAAATAAATTACTTGATTACATTTATACTTGACACGTAAAGCCATGTGTCCCTATCTTTTCATAAGTACTTCAAAACTATGCCCAAATAGCTTCTTGAAGCGGCTAAACTTCGTACTTATTTAGGTAGACTTCCAACATGCTCCTATGAAAAAGCACTTAATCAGGAATTCTATTAAGTTTAAACAACCTCTTTTCATCATAGTAAACCGGAACTTTACCTTGGATGATTAAACAAGTTCCCAATTACCAAATGAGAAAGTTAATCTTATTGAACTTAAGACCCAACGTCTTATTGGGCGTTAAGTTAAGACTCTCTCATTGGTAATTAACTAGGGCTCCAATCCCAGGTTGATTTCCATCCTTTTATTCATGTCTCTAGCCAATGCCTTGGTGAAACAATCGGCTAGATTGAAATTCGTTCGAACATAATCAATAGTGATCACACTATTCTTGATAAGCCCTTGGATATAGCTATGCCGCACTCCAATATGCCTTGACTTACCATTATACACTTGGCTATATGCCTTAGCCAAAGTAGCATTATTATCGGAATGTATCACAATTGGCGATATTGGCTTTTGCAACAAAGGTATCTCATGCATTAAATCCCTTAACCATTCTGCTTCTTTACCAGTGGAATGTAATGCAATAAATTCCGATGTCATTGTAGAATCAGCAATGCAAGTTTGCTTCTTAGATGCCCATGAAATGGCACCTCCCCCATATAGGAATACCCATCCACTTGTGGATGAATGATCTCTATTTGAGATCCAACTTGCATCCGAATAGCCTTCAACAACCGAAGGGTATCCACTATAGCACAAACCATAATCCATGGTTTTCTTCAAGTACTTCAACAAACGACGAATCGCTTGCCAATGGAGCATACTAGGATTACTAGTGAACCTGCTCAATTGACCAACCGCATAAGCGATATCTGGCCTAGTACTTGTCATGGCATAAATCAAACATCCTATAACTCTAGCATATTCCAGTTGTGAAACTGCATTACCTTCATTAGGTACCAACTTTATACTAGGATCCATAGGTGTTGAATAAAGAAAGACCGAACTTTCACTAACATTAAACTTCTTGAGCACTTTCTCAATGTAATGAGATTGTGACAAGATCAACTTCCCTTGTTCTCTCTTTATTTTTATGCCCAAGATGACATCCGCTTCTCCCATGTCTTTCATGGAAAATTGAGAACTAAGGAAAGATTTTGTCATTTCAACTTGTGACAAATCCGTTCCAAAGATCAACACGTCTTCTACATATAAACAAATTATGACACCTTGACCGTTGTCATCAAATTTGCTATACACACATTTGTCAGAATTATTCAACTTAAATCCATTAGACAACACAACCTCATCAAACTTTTGATGCCATTGCTTAGGTGCTTGTTTTAGCCCATACAGTGATTTAATCAATTTGCAAACCTTTGTCTCTTGGCCTTCCACAACAAACCCTTCCGGTTGTCGCATATAGACCTCTTCTTCCAAATCTCCATTCAAGAAAGCAGTATTGACATCCATTTGATGGATCACTAGATTCTTAATTGCCGCAAGTGCAATTAACAATCTAATAGTTGAGATTCTAGCTACCGGTGCATATGTATCAAAATAATCAATACCAGGTTTTTGCGTAAAACCTTGTGCCACTAACCGGGCCTTGAACTTTTC